TGAACTGCAAAGGTACCCGTGTGATACACGGTCAATAAATTATATTTTAATTTTATATGTTGTTATTGTACTAAATTAAATAATTGTTCAATATGTTATGTAATAAAATGCACATATTACATGTTAAACACTGATTCAAGTATATTGCAATTTACACATAAAGAAATGATTAAATTGTAAATTGGTATTTTATTTACAAATTATTGAAAACTTCATGGTACACAACATTAGTTGTTGAAGTACAACTCTTGTTAAGCTCATTACAAATTAGAATCTTTAGACCTTTAAGATTGCTAACTCTAGATGCAACAATATACAATTGGTCATGTACAAACACTCTTTCTTCAAGAGCAACCCAACATGAGATAGTGTCTGACCTTGACTTTTATTTATTGTCATTGCATATGACAATATTAATGGGAATTGTCTCCTTTAAAATTTGAAAGACAATCTTGTATCCGATGGAGTCATGACATTCTTGGTATCAACACTGAACTCTCGACATTGTCACCAGTCATTATTTTAGCCTCAATAACATGCTCGGACAATCTTGTAATGACTAATCTCGTACCATTACATAAACCCAATGAGTAATCTATATTGCGTAACAAAATATATTGCAAATTTGGTGGCCAAAAAATTAGAACTCGATTTGCTATAAAATTAATTAAGATTATAACTTTCTATATATGTTATTAGCAATAAGAACTTACCAATCGTATAATTTGTTATTTGAAAAATATTTGATCTGCCAATAATACCTTGGGATTAGATTTTCTTTGTCATCTATTTAAATAAATATCTCAAAAATTTAACACAATTTCATAGTCCTATTACACATCTAATATAAATAAATTTCTTTTGCAAAACAACATAAAAAAAGTAAAATTCTAATAAATAATATAATGTCAATATCCACTTATATTATATATAATATACTATAATGTGTGTGTGTGTGTATATATATATATATATATATATATATATATATATATATATATATATATATATATATATATATATATATATATATATATATATAATTCGAACAATTGTTGCTTCACAGAGGAAACTTACATATATTATTACACCTTTATAATTTATAATAATATATAATATAATTATATAATTATATTAATATATACGGAGTAGTACATTTAGAAACCCAGCATGAAGTATGCCAGAAGTTTCTTCCTTCTCTTTGAGATGAGAAGTGATGGGGGAAACCTGACTTTCTTATTTCTCGACAACGATTCCATTTCTCTTGCTCAATTTCTTCCTTCTACAGATTTATTGCTCTCTTGCGTAAGTATTGTCCTCAAATTTTACTCAAGGATGGCGATTGTTCATTGTACTTTCCTAATTCCAAGCTTGGAGTTCTATGATCTTCAACCACAATGCATGCCTCTGTATCCTACCGTTTCACAGAGATCTTCAACCACACACGGCTTAAACTTATAAATTGAATCTGATTGGCTTATAAAAAAATCTTGGGCGTAAAATAAGTAGAAACAAAATATTTAGTTTAAATATTTGGTAACCGATGAGTTTACACGTTCTTTTAAGCAAAATGATATAAATATTTGATACTCCTCAAAACGACGTAGTATTGTTTGGGCGGGAATTTTTTGCTCCTATTATTTTGCTTTAATATATATAGAGAAGAGATATATAGAATATACAGTATAATATAATAAGACAAAAAATATAAAGTATGAAAATCTAGAAATTTTGAAACAATAACCAAAATATATAATTATAATTTTGTATATATGATAGTTTTGATACTTTTTTCTTTCATTTGTGATCAAAGTTTTATTTTTGAAAGTTTAGCCACTCACAAAGCACCAATATACAAAATGATAAGTGTATAACTCCATTTCATATGTTTTTCAATTTAATTTATGCTTCAGAGCATTAATACATTACAAAATCAGTTTGTGATATTTCAAATGTGATCTCTATCACTATATTATATTTTCAATTTTATAATATATTATTTTCAAAATTACTTTCTCAAAGCCAATGAATAAATACATGAATTGATGGTCTTAGCAAATGCTCTTCTAGGTAAATCCATTGTTTACTTTGAATCGTATATAAAAGACAGTAATTTAATTTTGATTAAGATTTAGCCATTCATACAACTAAAATAAATGAAGAGATGAAGAAAATATGCATTATTAAGCTCTACAAAAAAAAAAAAATTAATAATTATTAAGATCATCATACAAATTAGACAAATGAATATACAGTTTTCAGCCCATTTATATTTTATATTATGATCCAATCCAATATAATTCTTATTAACCTTACATACTGTAAGCCCAACTTAAAGAGAGTAAAGCCTAGCCCACACTAATCCTAAGTATAATTTGGACAAAACGTTTCAGCTTCTTCATTTTGCAGTCCACGGCTTCAGCTCACCTCTCCGTCTCCCGTCTCTCGCTTCCTCCGTCGATACAGACTCGGCTTACTCATATCTTCACTTTCGTCATCACCGATGCCAGTCCTCAGGCCAAGCTCACATTCTCTCGTGCTCTCCTACTCAAGTTAGTTTCTTCGCTGTAGGTTAGGGTTTTCATCTATATCGTATTTCCAAATCCCATCTCCAAATCGCCGGTCAATTGATCCAAAATTCCATCTCCAAAACACTAACCTTCTCGTCACCGGACCAGAGACCAGTCCTCCATCTCCTGAATCCCTTGCTGCCGGCTGCCCTGCTCCGCCGCCTCCAAACGTACCAAATCGTCGTATTCCCTAACCCGCATTTTCCGGTAGCAGACCGAGACGCACATCTTCTCTGGTGCGATTCTTTCTGATATCTCACTTCATCTTTCGTTATGTTTCGATTCGTTCTGATATTCTCCCTTCATCTCCAATTCTTTTGGGTTCTCCGGTGTTTGCTTAGTAGGTATGACTGTACAGAATTAAGCATCTCCAAAGAAATGCAGATCTGCAAAAAGATAAGTTTATTCTCTATTCTTAATTTTTGTATTGAATCAGTAATTTATATAAACAAATTGCAGAATGTGTGTTTATTCTTCGTTTTTATTTGACAGACGAAGTTCTGCAACAATTAGGGTTTTTCTGATATTTTAAAACACCGATCTCATTTAACATATATAGGGTATCCCTATGGGTAGTGTCACCACTATCACCAGGGGGATAGATTATGATGAGGTTTTTTCTCCTGTTGTTAAACATACTTCTATCAGATTAGTACTTGCTTTGGTAGCCATTTGGGATTTGCATTTGGAACAAATGGATGTGAAAACTGCTTTTCTACATGGTGATCTAGATGAGCAAATTTACATGAAGCAACCTGAAGGGTTTGTTAAAATCGGAGGTGAGCATCTGGTTTGTCGACTCAAGAGGTCTTTGTATGGGCTGAAACAGGCTCCACGGCAGTGGTACAAGCGGTTCGATGCTTACATGATTCAAATTGGCTATACTCGTTGTGAGTATGATTGTTGTGTCTATGTTAAAAGCCTTGGTGATGGTTCTTTTATTTTTCTGTTACTGTATGTGGATGATATGTTGATTGCTGCTAAGAGTATGAATGATATTATTGCATTGAAAGTGTTGTTGGGTCAGGAATTTGATATGAAAGACTTAGGAGTTGCACAGAAAATTCTTGGCATGGAAATTCACAGGGATAGAGGTGCAAGAAAGTTGTGGCTAACTCAACAGAGTTATATAGAGAAAATTCTTGACAGGTTTGGGATGAGTAAGTCTAAACCGGTTAGTACCCCTTTGGCTAATCATTTTAAACTCTCATCCAGTCAGTGTCCCCAAACAGTTAGTGAGATTGAAAATATGGCAAAGGTTCCTTATGCTAGTGCAGTTGGCTGTTTAATGTATGCAATGATTTGTACTCGACCTGATTTGGCTCATGCTGTTAGTCAAGTTAGTAAGTACATGTCTAAACCTGGGAAGCAGCATTGGGAAGCAGTTAAATGGATTCTCCGGTACTTAAGGGGCACTATGGAGTATGGTATTGTATTTGGGAGTCAACAGAATGAGCATGTACTCATGGGATATGTGGATTCTGATTATGCTGGTGACATGGATAATAGACGTTCTACAACAGGGTATGTTTTTACTCTTGGGGGTGGTCCTATTTGCTGGAGATCATCAGTTCAGTCTATTGTAGCTTTGTCTACAACTGAAGCAGAATACATGGCTGTGACTGAGGCAGCTAAAGAGGCTTTGTGGCTTTCAGGTTTGATTAAGGAGTTGGGTATTGAGCAAGATGGAGTTCAATTACATTGTGACAATCAAAGTGCCATTTTCTTAGCTAAAAATCAAGTATACCATGCCAGAACCAAACATATTGATGTAAGGTTTCATAAGGTCAGAGAGTTGGTTGCTTCTGGTGAGATTTTGTTGCAGAAAATTCATACAAGTGAGAATGCAGCAGATATGTTTACAAAGGCAGTTACTAGTGACAAGTTCAAACATTGTTTGGACTTGTTGGGTGTTTCCAGATGTTAAATGAACATGGTGGTCCTAATCCAGGGAGACTATGAGATGAGTTTTTTCTCCTAAAGGGCTTATTTGCGAAGGTGGAGATGGTTAGATAAGTATTTTCTCCTGAAGGGCTTATTCGCCAAGGTGGAGATTTGTTGAGTTATCTTTTTTCCTAGAGAACATATTCGCCAAGGTGGAGATTGTTGAGTTTGTCTCATATATGGATTAGGAATAAGTGTTTGTCTCATACTAGGAGTAGGAGTGAAACGAGTAGACCTATTGTATAAGGATTAGATGCCTATAAATATATTGGTTGTATCCCTATGGGTAGTGTCACCGCTATCACCATCACAAATAATAAGAGAATACTTTCACTCCCGTGGATGTAGGCACATTGCCGAACCACGTAAATCTTGTCTTTTTACCTTTTTGTCATTATTATTTTTCTTGTTCTTGTTAATCTCAACAATTAGCCACTGCTATGATATGATGGATAAACTCTTAGAAAATTTCATAATAAATTATTGTTACATACCTAAATCAGAAGAAGCCATCCTGATGAAAAGATCTTGTTCTTTCTCAGGTATCAGTCTAAGGTCAATCAAATCACCGAACCAAAGCAAACACCCATTATTTTCTCCATTGCTTATATCCATATTTGAATAAGCTGTACAGTTGCAATTCTTCAAGCAAACTTGCTCACACTCTTGAAGGCTCATACTGCTGTTGAACCATGAAAACATTGTATCTGGCAACTTGACACCACTATATTTAATGAATCCATCTGAGGATGCATTTTGACAATTCAAGCGTGTCCTCCGAACGCATCCTGATTCTACTGGATTTTCGGGCAAAAATTTGTCCAGACATCTACAAGAAGAGTAGTAATCATAGTAACAGATACTATATGCTCCACAATATCCATATCTGTCACAAGTGTCTGTTGGTGCAGTAAACACAATTTTCCATTCCTGTGAACCATCTGCCCATAAATGGAATTGTATAGTCCCAGAGGTTGATATTATTAACCTTATCAACTTTGAGGTTTCAAAAACCTTATAGTATGCATAAAACGCAGTTGCATTAACAATTGCACCCAGTTCGGCCATGTCTTCCAACTTTTCCATGCCGGGTGAGCCGTTCCATTCCAGACCATTCCATGGTCCTGACCGAAACACTTCCTCCCGGCCTCGTTTTATGAGCACTTGTGGATATCCTGTAGGTTCAACCAGAAGTTTATATTCCCCCGAGCCTGGATTGTTTTCTGCCTTCCATGATGATAGAATAATCTCAATACCAGTATGGAAATTCTTTCCAAACATCATGCCTGGCAAAAGAGTATCTGTAGGATGATGAAAACTTTGCCCCATAAAATTCTCTGGATTACTATCATTTGCATCAGTAATTACTAGATTCCCAGAATCTAATAATCTGGCAACTGGATTTTGCACGATTTTGGAACTGTTAGTTTGCCAAAATATGGAATTGTTGCCACCAACAAGAGCTAGCTCGCCTGTATTGAACATCTGCAAGACCACTGATGATATATTGGTGATGGGAACATCTCTATTGGCAACCCATACTACGGTGCGGATAGGCAATTGCTTGTACCATATGCCAACGTAGCGATTCGATGAATTGTTTGGGCTAAAAAATCCCAACTCAAAAGTTCCACCAGAAGAAGCAATGGTTTCACCATCTTTAAGGATGTGAGTGGAGTCAATGGTATCCCCTGCATAACAAATCTTCTGAATTGAAACTAAGAGTATCATAGCTATGAACAACAGGACATCATTTCCCATTGAGGAAACAGTTTTTTCTTTCATCTTTTTCTATTCTACTTCGTTCATATTATTATCAAATGGAGTATCTGTTACGCATTAATAGACATGTCTTGATCTATCGGAGACTCGGAGTATTATCTATGGTCTTTGGTCTTCGTCTATCTACCACTACACCATATTAATTGCTCAACCCCAATAGTTATTGCATGAACCGTAGTCTACACAGTTGTGTGGATCAAGGTCCAAAAACGATGACGTTTTGTGTATCGTTTTTCACGTGATCCGTTGCAACATACGTTTTTATAACTTATAATTTATATTATTTTAAAATATAATGTGCATTATTATCAAACATAATTTACATTATATTACCCCAGAAGTTTAATATTCTAAAATGTAATGTACATTATTTTAACACGCAATTTACATTATTCTAACACATAATATACATTATTCTAACAGATAATATTCATTATTCTTACTCATAATATTCAACGACATAGGAGTTAGGAGATCGACCTAAGAGGAGAAGTTAATATTTTTCTATTTGCAAAATGCTACTTGTATTGTCAAGAAAATATACTTCAAAAGCTTTGTTTCGCTTAAAGCTGAAAAAGTAATAGTTAATAAGCTAACTAATTGAAATTAAAATGTTTGGTAAAATTAATTGTTGAATTAGCTATAAATGTATAATTATACAAAGACTTAAAAAGTATAAATTAAGATATTAGGATTTTGATTAATGAATGGTAGATGGTATCATTTTAATAAATCAAAAAAAAAAAAAAAGTTAAAAACCCAAGATTATATTAAGTTCCCACTTTTAACAAACATAGCTTATATCTTATTTGTAATTTAAAATAACTTTACCAAACAAAGCCTAAGTTTAATGTTAGTTTTATTGATAATCGAAGTAGTCAAACGGTGGACCAACACAACCGGGAATATAGAACATGGTGATCGGAAAAATAACGCTTTAATTTGTATTGCTTTGTGCGTGTATATGACTTTTTCAAGGCAATTTATATTGTGCATCAGGGCGAACATTACATTATGCGCCCTGGTGCAAAACGATGTCGTTTTGCACTTCTTTTTTTTTTTTTTTGGAAATTTTAATTTTCCGTATTTGCTGTTAACTTGTTAAAAAAAAAAAATCATGTTTTGAAAATGTACATAATTGTATATTAAAATGTACATAATTGTATATGAGAATGTACATAATTATATAACAGAATACATATAAACTTTTAACTTTTTAAAAAAATCGCGTGTTCGAATGTACATAATCGTTTTAAAAAATGTACATAATACACATATACTCTATCGCGTCGACTCTCCACACAACGACGTCGTTTTGGAATGCGCGAGGCGCACAGTGTAGGGTGTAACGTAGACAAGTCTTGCCATAAATACAATTAATTTCCTTCCTTTGCTTACTGTGGACAAGGAGCCTCCCTCACTTTGAGAGGTCCTTCCTTTGCTTACTGTGGACAAGGAGCCTCCCTCACTTTGAGAGGTTGCTCCTATATTGCCATTGGGAATAGACTCGATCCCTAGTTATTCTTCCAAACTTTCATCTCTATAACCAATTGAGCTACTCATGCGGGCTATTCTACTTCATTCATATTCATATTATTATCAAATGGAGTATATGTTTCGCATTAATAGACATGTATTGATCTATCGGAGTATCTATTACGCACTATTATCTATGGTCTTTGGTCTTCTTCTTATCTACCACTACACCATATTAATTGCTCAACCCCAATAGTTATTGCATGGATCGTAGTCCACACAGCTGTATGGACCGTTCAAAAACGATGACGTTTTTTTTTTCACGTAATTCGCTGCAACATACATTTTTATAACTCATAATGTACATTATTTTAAAATATAATGTACATTATTATCAAACATAATTTACATTATATTACCTTAGAAGTTTTATATTCTAAAACATAATGTGCATGATTTTAACACGTAATTCACATTATTCTAACACATAATATTCATTCTTCTTACTCATAATATTCAACGACATAGGAGTTAGGAGATCAACCTAAGAGGAGAAGTTAATATTTTTATATTTGCAAAATGCTACATATTGTCAAGAAAATATACTTCTAAAGCTTTGCTTCGCACGCCTAGTTGAAAAGCTAGCTAAAAGCTGAAAGTTGAAAAAACAATAGTTAATAAGTTAACTAATTGAAATTAAAATGTTTGGTAAAATTAATTGTTGAATTAGCTATAAATGTACAAAGACATAAAAATGATAAATTAAGATATTAGGATTTTCATTAATGAATGGTAGATAATATTATTTTATAAATCAATAAAAAAAAAGTTAAAAAGTCAGGATTATATTAAGTTCCCATGTTTTACCAAACATAGCTTATATCTTATTTGTCATTTAAAACAACTCTACCAAACAAAGCCTAAATTTATTGTTGGTTTTATTGACGTACAATCGAAGTAGTCAAACGACGGGCCAACACAACCGGAAAAATAGAACACGGTGATCAGAAAAATAACATTTTGTATTGCTTTGTGCGTGTATATGGCTTTTTCAAGGTGTATAAGGGCCTAAACTAGACGAGTCTTCCCTGCCATAAATACAATTGATCTCCTTTCTAAATAGGAGGATGTAAATCATGGTAACTCAACTGAACATGAACCACAGAGACTAGACATTTGCTTACTGCGCACAAGGAGCCTCCTCACTTTGAGAGGTTGCTCTCATACTACCGCTGATGAGACAATCCCCAATTATTCTTTCAACTTTTCATCTTTATAATCAGTTGAGCTGCCCATGCGAATTATTCTACTTCATTCATATTATTATCGAGTGGAGTATATCTTTCGCATTAATAGACATGTATTGATCTATCGGAGTATCTATTACGCACTATTATCTATGGTCTCTGGTCTTCGTCTTCTCTACCACGTACTACACCACATTAATTGCTCAACCCCGCGTTGGCTATTTCAACGATGGCAAATTATTGCTTGGACCGTTGTCCATAGTGTGGACTACGGTTCAAAATATCATCATAAATATTATGAATAAAAATAATGTATATTATGTGTTAAAATAATATATATTAAATGTTATAATGATGTACATTATGTATTAAAATAATGTACATTACGTGTTAGAATAATGAAATATCTAGGATAATATAATATATATTATGTTTTAGAATAATGTACATTATGTTTAGGGCTGATAACGAACCGAACATAAACGAACAGAGGTTGTTCGTGTTCGTTTGTTAAGGTTTTTGGAGTGTTCATGTTCGTTTGTTAAGGTTTTTGAAAATTCTGTTCGTGTTCATTTGTTAAGCGTTCATTAGTGTTTGTTAACGTTCGTGAACACGTTCACGAACGTGTTCGTTAACATTAACGAACACGCTCACGAACATTTTCTTTAACATTAACGAAGACGTTCACAAACATGTTTGTTAACAAGCACATTCATGAATATGTTCATTAATATTTGTGAACATGTTCATTTATGTTCATAAACACGTTCGTGAATGCTTAATAACCAAACATATTAATATGTTCATGATCACAATTCGTTCGTGAACAAAAAATAATATATGTTCACAAAAAATAATCAAACAAGTAACACAATTACAAACAGAATAGAAACAAATACTAAACGAACACAAACGAACTTGTCTGCGAACATTATTAAACGAATACTAAGCAAGCTTGTTCGTGAACATTATTAAACGAACACAAACGAGCTTGTTCACGATCTCTTAGCAAATGAGCTTACAACTATCCAGACTTTGTTCGTTTATAAATCGAGCTCTAAATTTTGTTTTTTTAATGTTCGTTTACCTTAATAAACAAACATAAACAAACGCTTACCGAACACTAACTGTCAACAACTAAAACAACATAGCAATTAATGATTGCTCTCGTCTTTTTCGAAAATATGATTGCTCTGATCTTGTTTCAATCATTTTTCTATTTGACTCTCATATGGAATATTTTTGGTAGAAATATGCTACTTTATTCTCCTGAATTACTACGTTTTATACATTATTTTTTTTATTCAATTCTTATACTAAATCCATTGTTAGAAAATCATCTCTGTATAAAAAGTTTTATTGGTGATATAGGAGTTAGGAGATGAACCTAAGGGGAGAATTTAATATTATTATATTTGAATAATGTTAATTGTATTGTCAAGAATATATACTTCTAAACCTTTGTTTGTCACGCCTAGCTAGCTGAAAAACTATCTAAAAACATTTATTTCCTCTATCACTTACTCTTTAAATTTGCCCCGATCTTTATTCCTAAAGTGTGGAAAATGGGTTTTGCAAACATTTGCTAGCATATCTCATTCACATTGTCTTTTGTTGCACTCCCCAAGTCTCGGAAACATTTCTAAAGCGTGGAAACAATCCTAAAGTGTGGAAAGGGACTTTCACCTCAGTATATTTTGACCCGTGCTCCTTTTTTCCACCTAGTGCTTAAAGTAACATCGAGGACGATGTTTATTGTGAAGTGTGGAAAGGACGTACTTTGTGCTTGGTTGTTTGTAAATTCGATTGATTGAATGGTTCATGATTGATGATTGTGTGTCTTGATGGAGAGTGTGTCATTGTTCATACTATCTTAGAAATGTGTTGGTGATGTGTCAAAAATGTTTAATTCTTGAAATATTATTTGGAAGTTAGCTCTTTACACCATTTGAGAATTGCATAGAGCCAAATAGGTTTATATCTTTTGTATGCTTGCATGTTATTCACCTCTTATATTATTTGGACCTTAGTCAAGGAACTCTCGAAGTGGGAGTGTGTACCCCTCAACTTTAGAAATATAGATGTAAGCGAAGCCTGAAACGAACAAAATCTTGGTAATGCATGGGGCAAAAGGTGAGCCTTTGCTGAGAATTGAGTGTAAATCCCAAAGCCCAAGAAAAAGGCATGAGGGATTGAAGTGTGAAATGAAGAACGTGAAAAAGGCTAAGACCAAAAACAATGGCCACCCCTTGAGAGAAGAAACATGGTGAGCCGTCTCGATAGAATTTGACCGCAAATCCATTACACTGTCTTTGAAAAATTGTAGAGCTCTACATGAAGTCGGTTGTCTCAAGGGCGATGTTCTAGGAGACGAGAAGAGAGAGTGGAGGTGAGCCACCCCGCTGGAAACAGGGCACCCATAGCACTGACCTTCGAAAAAGCATGGAGCTCCATGTGAAGTCGGGCCGCTCGGTAACGATTCTAGGGGGATGAGAAGAGAAGAGAGCTCGTCTAAGCCAATTGGTGGGGAGAGGTCCATGCCACACCTCACTTACTTTTATATTTATGGGCTTTGGTGTAACACCCCAGATTTTCGAAACTTTTAAAACTTATATAATAAAGGTAATCTCTTATTAATTCAGAGCATAAACTAAACATAATTGTCGGGTGCTATACCACATTTGAGTTAGAGAACTCAGATGCACAGGCTATTCTATCTAAATATCCTCAAAACAAAGTCAATACATCAATATGGCACGCAGGTCGAATGGGAAACTAGCTAACTAAGCCTCGGTCCTCTAGCGCTCTCCAGAGCTACTCATCTGTGCCTGAAAACCAAATATATCTGTTCAGCGAATAATGCTGGTAACCCACTCCAACGCGTTAAAATACAATATAGGTATACATATATATATATATATATATATATATATATATATGTATATATATATATATATATATATATATATATATATATATATATATATATATATATATACATGTATACATGTATATATATATATATATATATATATATATATATACATGTATACATGTATATATATATATATATATATACATGTATACATGTATATATATATATATATATATATATATATATATATATATATATATATATATATATATATATATATATATATATATATATATATGTATGTGTATACATACATATATATATATATATATATATGTATGTGTATACATACATATATATATATATATATGTATGTATATATATATATATATATATATATAATATATATATATATATATATATATATATATATATATATATGTATGTATATATATATATATATATATATATATAATATATATATATATATATATATATATATATATATATATGTATGTATATATATATATATATAATATATATATATATATATATATATATATATATATATATATATATATATATATATATATATATATGTATGTATATATATATATACATACATATATATATATATATATATATATATATGTATGTATATATATATACATACATATATATATATATATATATATATATATATATATATATATATATATATATACATGTATATATATATATATATATATATATATATATATATATATATATATACATGTATATATATATATATATATATGTGTATGTATACATATATATATATATATATAGGAAAACCATTTTGAAGTCGGAAGATATATACTTAGCAGACTCTAGTTTTAAAATCGTGAATAGACTCAACAAGTAGGGACAAACATATTCAACAGATATAATCATGCATATAAAGATACTAGCATATATCCTAAGGTCACAATCTTATTTAACATCATTCACATCATTATTCCATCATTATCTCAACACATAAGCACACTTTGGTGGCGCCACAGGACCAATCACATGCCCATACATGAGGGTCAGCACATATAGCGCTAACACGGCCCCGCAGCACCCTGCCTCGTATCGCAACACGAAGGGGTTGATGGCAACCAACCGATGAACCGCAGCTCATCATAACGTTTGATCGCAACCAAACGATGGACCGCAACTCAAAAGTGTATTTCTGATCGCAACCAGATTATGAACCGCAGCTCATGTATAGCGTTTAATCGCAACCGAACAGTGTACCGCAGCCCTATATAATATTTATATACTTGCCCGATCGCAACCGGCCTGGTTAACAGCCGATGGTTCTCAACCCATCCAACTGCCCGTATAGCCAATTTGATCGCAATCAAATTGGGGTATCATGCACACATAACACATAGCAAGCACATGCAACCCAAATTAGCACATTGGGAAAGGGGAGAAAACGTATAAGTAAACTTATGCGTGGTCATCCACATACTAGGAATATTCCTAAGGGGTTCATACGTCTTTCACCTAGGCCAACGGGATACCAATTCAACTAGCATGCAATACACAAGACTCCTTTATCCTACGAATGGTACCCGAAACATCAAACTAGACTCAGGCACGAAAACGTTGTCCGTTGGGACACCTCGGGGGTCGGGGAAACATCAAACGGGAAAAACCACCATTCCGCACTGGGAGGAACAAGCGGGTGGCCAGCGGGTGGAGGACCACCTGCCGGCGGCGAACTGCTGGGCAGCGGGTACCCGGCGGGCAGTCGGTTGCCCGCTGCCGGCGACGCCCATAGGGGCAGCGGGTAGGTGGCGGGTTCCCCTACCCCCCACTGACTCTTTTGCGATACTTTGGTCCCGGGATCATTCGTGGAACCCGAAACCATGTTTAGACACTTTTAAACACAAACGAAGACACCATGTAGTCAAATAATGGATCAAAACCAAGAATCACATTCAAATACATCCTAACATGACTTCTAAACATAATTAACACCCGATCATGCGAAATACCATCCAAATATACCAAGAATATCACAATACGAAATTCACAATTTAACCTAGGGCTCTAATCATATTTAAATCACAAAATTATACTTTATCTTTAAAATCGAGAACATCAAGATTTATCAAGAACGACACACAATTATCAAGATCTTCTCATAATCATCAAGATTATCAAGATCAACACATAAGATCATCTCATCAACATCAAGATCATATCATAATCATCATAAAATATTTATCAAGACACAAGCATAGAATTGTATATCAAAAAGAGCCAAAGAAGAAGATTATAGCAAGGAAAATAGGTTTTGTTGAGACATAGGTTACCTCTTCGCCTTAATCAGAATCCTTGGCTACTAAGGTTCTTCTCTAAGATTTTCATCCGATTAACCTCCCTAGGCTTGGTGGTGGGGAATCTCCCGGGAATATTTTCGTGTAATATAACTATGGGTGGTACGGGTTCTAATTGCTTTCTAATCCCCTATTTATAGAATCAGGAATCCTAGTCATAATCTGAATAGTAAAGGCCTACTTTCTTTATTCCTAATAGATATATAGGCCTAGGATTCCTAATTAGAATCTGACTAGTAAAAGGTTTACTCTCTTTATTCCTAATAGGCTTAGGACTCTAGTTTAGGCAAGGGTCCACGATCCATGGTGGACCGCATTAATTAATTAAAGGGAATCCTAACCAAATTAAATCCTTTTTAATTGTTATTAACGGAATTAATTAAATAATTAATTCGAGATTGAAGGCCACAACACGGGGTGTTACATTTGGCGTTTTGGTTGGGGTGTGCACATCGTTCCCACTAGTGGGTTCGGCTTGAAGGCCCATAGAATATAGGAGGTGAATTCAAAATTTTTGCATGCTTGAATTGGTGTGGAGAGTGTGTTCCATTGAGCTTATTTTCATCCTTTTGCTAGGGTTTTTTGATTCATTAGAAAATTCCTTGAATTACAAAGTATGGCACATGATCAACACAATTGTTTGATAGCATGAGGGATTTCACCCCCTCCATTGTGTCACACACCTTTCTTGATTGACCGTTTGACTGATTGAATTTGCATCAAGTATCTTTACCACTTATCATTCCTTGAGTTGAATTGAAACCTTGCTCGAGGACGAACAAGAATAAAGTGTGGAAACTATGATAAGTGCCAAAGATGCTACATTTAGTGAGGTAATTAAGAGGCATATTGAGCAATATTTGGAATCTTTTGAGCATAATACATGTTTAGAATGACTTACTTTGATAGAAGTTAGGAGCAAGGACTAATTGTGATTGCGTTTGTAGGAAATAGCAAAACATTGTTAATTATAGGGCATTCAGGCGACAGTTCGGTAACTGGAGCATATCTTGAGCTAGGAGTGTCCAAACAAGGTGATTCAAGTGGACATGGTTCGACAACTTCAAGGACTACAACTTTTGTGAAGGAAAAAGTGGCTAATTATCAACAGAGAATTCCACGAATAGCTCCAACGCTTGTTGGCCTTGCGTGGACGGGAAACAAAAAGTCCAACGCATCCGTCCAACGTGCGTTGGACTACCCAGTGTGGAAATTACAGAATTTGGCCTCTATTTAGAGGCTTGTAATTGGGCTACGAGGGAGACTACTTTTTTTTTTTTTTTTTTATCATTTTTCTTCTCATAGAGTTCAGATCTTAGCATTCTTAGATTAGGGTTTTTAGATTAGATTTCCATTTTCCTATCTACACTCATTGATCTACAACTCTTGAAGATTGGATCGCAATTGCATTGGAGATTGGGTAACCCTACTCTCTTAAGCTTTCAATTCTATACTCTATTGTGTTATCTTGAAACTCTTTCATTGTGCTTTCAATCTATTAATAATGATGAGTTGCTAGATTTCTAGGATTTGGATTGGAACTGATTCATGATTGTGTATTCATGCTTTGTATAGATTAGATGATAAGAATTGATGTATGGCTAGATATTAAATGCCTATGTTGTAGAGGTGTGCATATTGATCTCTATCCATTGAGAGCTCCAATGGATAGATGAGTGTGAGAGTGGGGGAATAACAAGAGATTGCACTTAATTTCCTTAGTCTTGCCCTTGCAATCCCCGGCATACGATCCGAGAGGGCTAGGCTCGGGAGAGGAAGGTAGACCGCCGGCCTTGTGTTTGATAGAATGCCTCACCCGACTTAGGGATTGAGAGTTTAGGTTCTACGCAATCTAATGTTGGTGCCATAGTTCTTGTGACAACCCAAAATTTAATTTTCTAAATTCGATTTTAAGAAATTCCAAAATAGCCGTTTTTTTCACTCCTACAAAATTTTTGCGATAAACACAGTGTGGAAATAAATTGTTTTAGTGACATTTTAAATAAATCCAACACCGAGAATTATCTATTTCTAAAAATCCTAAGTTTCCGGGTACATTGCGTACCAAGTTTTGAACTGAAAATCATTATGAGTGAAACCAGGAGAAATCTAAGAAGCCTAAACCAAGTGTTATTCTAGAAATCATTTTTGTGAAATTCACTCTAAACCCTTAAACTATTTCAAATCTTAAATCTAGACTTGGTCTATGAAGCTTGGTGGACCACAAGCATCCAACCCTTTTGCCTGATACAATTTTTAGCCAACTTTTGCCATTTTTGCCCTCCACCAATCATTGTGGTTTCTCCTAGGGTTTAATGCCCCTATAAATTAGAAAGACATCAGACCTTTGCCTCTTGATTCCCAACCTTGTCTTCCCCAAAAGCTCTGCAAGAAAACCAAAGGAAAGCACAGTAAGTTTCATAGCTACTCTCATCCAATCTTAGCCATCCATTTCTTCTCTGCATTCCTTCTATCCTACCTCTCCGAGAACTTAGTCTTAAGGTTGTTGTATGGTTTGTTTGAGATGTTTAGGAGGTGAAGGAGGGTGTAGCTAGCTTGGGAAGAAGGTGGAATCCCAGCAAAAAGGAGGAAACTACAAAGGTATAACCCCATGGACTCCCAAAGCTTTTACAGACTCTGTGAAGTCTATTTATTTTTTGAAATGCTTAGAAATGCTAAATTATTGTTGTCGTTGAGCTAGTAAGTGATCCATTGTTGATCTATGATGTGTTCTTAAGGATTTGGGAGTGTTTGATTGCCTGAAATTGCATTACAGGTGAAGATGAATCTCACTGGTGCACAAGACAGTGTGCACCAGATGAGTAACGGAGCTAGCCAATAGCCCTAGGCAGGGACCGTTGGCCAGCCCCGTGGAGGCACGAGCTTAGGGCACGGCGAATGGCAAGAGCCGTAGCCCTATGTGACACCCCAAAAATCCACATTCAATCCATGGATTAATTGAGTAATTAATCCTATTTTATTTGAAGAATTAATTCCTAAAATTCTGATTTTTAATACTCAAGGACTAGTATTTGACTAGCCAACCTTAAAGTTGTGTTGTACCTTGAGCTTTGAGGGGAGTTCCCTTGTTCCTTACACTTTCTAAGGGTTAGTAAGGGTATTCTTGACTTTTCACCAAGAGTTAGTATTGTAACCTAACCTAGAAGACTTCTTCATTTCATTCCCTACAATTCTTAGAAATTAGCTCTACCTTCTCTATAGAAAATGAGTGTAGCTTATTCTCCAAGCCAAGTTGAGACCCTTGTCAAGATTCCAGGATTTGCTTCCAAGATTCAACCTTTCACCTATTTGGGCATCTAGGAGGGTAAGATCTAAGTTCATCTTGTGTTTTTGGTTCCATCTTAGTTGTTTTTTTCTTAAAGGTAGGATCTTTATGATCTTTTGGTTTGATCTTGAAGTGGGTTTGGAAAGTAAGCTTTGTGGGGAGCTTGTTGTGGTGTAAAGTGAAGTCTTTTGGTCTACAAGAGGTAACCCATGCTCTACAAAACCTATTTTGCTTACCTATATGTGATTTCTTGGATTCTACTTGTGTTCTGCTATGAACTGTGAGAGTTTATGTATTTGTCTTGTGATATTGCATATCTAGAGCTTGTGTTTAGGGTTCCTTTGTGCCATTGCTTGGCATTTTCCATGGTTCAAGTCATTTTGTTTTGTTGGGTGAGATTTGGCATGTTTTGGACTTGAATTTATGTTTGGAGAAGAAAATCCCCGAAGGGATTTGTTGTGGAACAGGAATGTTCCCGCGAGCGGAACTGCCCGCCGGCCTACCCGCGGGTACAATACCCTGTGCGAATGTGTTCCCGCGGGCGGAACCACGGGTGGGGCACTACCCGTGGGTTCACCCGCGGGTACACGAGTGGAGTTGGATCGGGATTTGTTCCCCGTGATTCTTTTGACTCGGTATTTGGCCTTTTGACTTCTCGTTGTTCTTTTGTGGAACTATTTGAGTGTCTTCTTGATGTTTCGTATGTCTAGAACTATATGGTAGGTATCCATGTAGGACTTTGGTGTCTTGAATTGTGCTAAGTGTTCAACATTGTGTTTTGTTGGACCAAGAGGTGTCTTGTGTGTTCCTCGGAACTATCTTGAGTTTCCCCATTGATAAGCATGCTAGTTTGTTGTCTAAATGCTAGCGTGTGTGTTGTTTGTACCTTCCGTTTGGTTGATGATAACTTGCGTTATTCATCGTTGATGTTGTTGGGCTGTGACCCGTTCCTTGATTGAGTATGTTTCATACCTTCATTCTGATCCATTGTTTGACTCTTGTTGAGTTGTGGTGCGTGTGTGGTTTTACCTGGATTGCACGATTAGTGGTATGGGACGCTAGTCACCAAGGTATTGTAGCGGTCCTCGTGGTGGCCGTGACGTTATTATGGAGTTGGGGCCTTTGTGTAAGGTTCACGTTTTTGGGGGATAACATGTGTTATCCGGGCATGTGTTGCCGTGTACGGTACCATGTGTACTATGAATTGGTGCCCTCGTTGGTGGTCATTGGTGGGGGACGACGGTCCCGGGGGAATAAGGTTGGACTAAGAAGTACAGGGGTCCTGGAGGTAATGGTTGGAAGAAGATATAAGGTTGGGGGTAGCCATAAGGTTGGAACAGGGCATAAGGAAGGCATACTAACTCGTGATGGGTGATGTTGCGAGGGCTTGTAAAGCCGGCGTTGTGTGTTCTTCTCTCGTGACGTGTGTAGTCACGGAGGCATGTGTTGCTTTGGCATGTGTTGCCGTTGGGTGAGTCTTTATCCTTTGCGTGTGGTTAACCTTTGTGGTTTGGGATGTGTCCCCGTGTTATCTTTGAGAGTGATGAGTCTTGTGTTGACTGTCGATCTTGGCTTTTGACTTATATACATGTATTCCTTTTCGAAAATGGTTTTACACCTTATATCTATCTATGTATGATATTTTACATGTATTGGTGGGTTACCAGCATTTATCGCTGACCAGGCGTCGTCCCAATGTTTATCTTTGTATCTTTCAGGTGATGTTTAGACGAGCGCGATGTCTAGTGCCTGGTAGCTTAGCACCTTTATTCCTGTTTTGTGGCCTGTATGCCAATGTAGTTTCAGACTGATGTTTTGGGATAGATGTATACACTTGCAGATTGTTTGCCGTAACGATTACCGTGTTTGGTAGACGTGGCGTGACACCCCGTTCGGATTTCTTTTATCCAGTTTCATTTTATCTTCTGCTGTGCTAGTTTTGTTGTTTAATCTGCATGTGTTAAGGCTTTTATATAGGTCTTGTTTGGGGGGTGTTACAGTTGGTATCAGAGCCTAGGTTTGAGCCTAGGAAGGGTTAAGTCTAGACTTTCTAAGTGATTAAGTGTGTTTTGAGACCTCTAAGCGACCTTAAGAAGCTAAGTGTTAGGCTTAGGACTCTAGGTTACGCGGTGAGCTGTGTGTTGCTTTCTGTCTTGCTTGCTTGCTCTCTTTTGGTAACCTCGTTGTTGTTGTAGAAGTTTGCGATGCCTCCTCGTCCCCGCGCTTGCACCCCGGAGACCCCGACCAACGAGCAGCTCGCTCAGAATCTCCATCAGCTGACGCAGACAATGAAGACGCTCAGTGAAGCCTTGCTGAACAACAATCAAGCTGTGCCGCCTCCTCCCCCTGCTGGGCATCGCGATGTAGGTCGTTTGGTGTCGGGGCATCGGCCGCCAACCTTCACCAGAGAAGAAGACCCGGTAGTCTTGGAAGAGTGGCTACGGGTGTTTGATAAGATCTTCATCGTTGTGGGTTGCCCCGAAGAGAGAAGAGTAGAACTGGCAACGTTCTACTTCTGCCAAGAAGCTGATCTGTGGTGGGTCTACGAAGGTCCGACCTTCCTTGAAGAGCCTGGGTTTGATTGGACCGCGCTCAAGGACAGAATGCGCGAGAGGTTCTACCCAGCGCATGTGCAAGCCGCCATGTTTGATGAGTTCCTTCATCTGCAGTAAGGATCCTTATCTGTGGTCGAATACCACAAGAAGTTCTTGGAGTTGGCGCGCTTTGCAAGGATGCTTGTGCCTACGGAGCTTGCTAAGGTGGAGCGTTTCGTTGCCGGTCTGAATTATGAGGCACGAAAAGCGCTGACGGTGAGTAGGCCCAGCTCCCTTAAGGATGCGTACCTGAGTGCCGCGGATCTGTATCGTGTTCAACAGCTTCAGAAAGGATCGTTTGAGCTTGCTAGGAAGAGGGTTGAGGGCGGAGGTTCTTCCACCTTCAAGAAGCCCCGACCGAGTTTTCAAGTCAAGGCCGTGTCATCTTCTTCTCAAGGACCCATCAGGGTGGAGCATCGGGATCAAGCTAAGTCGGTTGTTTGTCGAAGATGTGGGAAGGTGCACGCAGGCCAAGATTGTTATGGCCAGGCGTTTAGATGTTTCCGATGCGGGGATCGTGGTCACAAAGTCGCGGAGTGTCCCCAGCTTGCCGGTCAGAGAGCGTTGCCGCCACCCCCGAGAGCCGGAGTAGCACCGGGAGGGAGTTCGGGTCGCGGAGCTGTCGGAGCTAGGCCACTCGGAAGAGTTTTTGTGATGGCGCGTTCCCAGGCTGAGTCGGAGGGCTTGATGGAGGATGAAGTGGCAGGTAACCCTTATCTTCTAGCCTATCCTTGTTTCTTTTTTTTTTTTTCCAAAATCATCGTGTTCGTTGTGTCTTGAGTGTTACCTTGTGTTTTGTAGTTGCCTTTTGCTTGGCAATCCTTGGTACGCTTTCTCTTGATAGCAATTCTTTTGAGGCTTAGTGTAGACTCTTCTTGCT